TGATTCTTCCATCTCCTGGGATAAGGTACAAAGTGTTCTCACTGGGTTAGAGCACCAGATACCCGACTCTCAGGCCAGCCTCTTCATCTCTGCTCTAATACCATAATAAAACCATCCAGCAAGTAGCTTCTTAGCCTTCACAACACACAGAAAACAAAGAGCACAGAACATTTGTGTACAAAGGGACCTTCGTCCACCCCACTCAGCACCCTATATCTTTCCAAAGCATGCCAAAACTCCCTAGTGTTTCCCATGTTTAGTGTAAAACTCACAATATAACAAAAGTGGCATTTTAAAAGGATTGCTCTAGTGATCTTTTCATTTTTGCATGCTTTTTCATGCCCCCGTCTGCATAATCATCTTTTATAAATTTTTAAATTATATTATAAACATGTTCCATGCTGCTACACAGTCTTAGTAATCATTATTTTTAATAGTTGCATAACATTACTGGATTGGATTTACTATAATTTACTTAACCATTTTTCTCTGATTAGACAGATTACATTCAATTTTTCACTATTATAAATAATGCTGAAATTTATATTTTCAAGTTTTGTTTCTTTTACATGGAAACAGCATAAATCCCAAGTAATAATATACTAGATCATAGCTTATGATCCTTTACAATTCTTCAGACCTACTATAAAATTGGTTTCTAAAAATATTTTGTTTACATTGAAGCTAGCAATATATTATTACCATTGCTATATTCTTACACACATTGAATGTTCTCATTATTTTAAACTATTACTAGTTTTAAATATATAATGATGCCTAGTGAGGTTGAATATTTTTTCATGTTTGTTTTCTGCTTCATCTTCCTTCCTGGACTTTGTTAAATGAAAATCAAAATGATGTGTGCACGCAATATTTATTAATTTCTCTCTCTCTTTCTCTCTTTCTCTCTCTCTCTCTCTCTCTCTCTCTCTCTCACACACACACACACACACACACACACACACACACACACACCCCATCCAAACCAAACCAAAACATGGCCTCACATAATCCAAATAACTAAATAATGTATTTTAATTTAAAGTAAAATGGAAAAGAGAGAAGCTTTATATGATTGAGATTTCTTCACTATATAAATTCCTAAGTATGTATTGGGAATGAAAATATATTAAGTACTTAATTTGTATAAAAATGAAACTTTTAAGAAAAAAAGTGAATTTGCACGGAGTTACTCATTGATCAGTAGCATTTAACTTAAATGTCAATTAAACTCAGATTCCTGGCCAACATCTACCAGTAGACCAGATAGAGCTCCCGAGAAAAAGAGTCAGTGGCTGCCTACCTTAGCATGAGACTTCTTTGTCCAAAATATCTCAACTGTCCATTTCAATGCCTCAGCTTCCATCACTGGAAGCGATTCAAGCCAAGAATAAAACTGTCCCCTAGGAACTGAAGCAACTGACATCTTTATCAGGCTCCTAATATACAAAAGGTATCTGGGACCAAGACCCTAAGAAAATAGAACATACTCAGATGAAAGACAGAGGCAGTAGAGAGGAAAAAAAGACAAGATTGCTGCTTGAAACAAGTGGCATCTACTTGAAAAGTTTCCCTAAGATTTTTATACACCGGGGACAAGAGTAGGAACCTTTCTGGAAAGCAATTTGGCAATATGTAACAAGAGAGCTAAAAATGTTTATACCCTTTGACCCAGTAATTCGACTTCTAGGATCCTATCCAAGTAAATAAACAAAGATGCAATAAAGATTAAAAAGATAGGAACTGCGACAGAATTTATAATAACAAAAAGTTGGAAATGCCCTGAACATCCCAATGATTAGGGAGTTAAATAGATTATCGGACATTTGCATAAGGAAATGTTATGCAATCATTTAAAAACTATGTTTCGAGTCATTTTTAATGAATTAGGGAGAAACTCTCCATATCCTGATAAGATGTAATATGATCTCAACCCCCTAAATATTATTTTTGTATTTCTATATTTAGAAAAAGACATACAGACACCAAAATATTAACAGTAATTACGGGTTATTGGTGAATTTTACTTACTTCTATATATTTGCTGTATTTCCCAAATTTTCTACAGGGAATATGTTACTTTATTTAGCAGGAAGGAAAGCTATTTAACTCCACACACACCTCAATCCGCAGCATATACATTTTGAAGCTGAAAATATATTTCTCAAGTCTCCAGAGTTCACAAACAAGCAAAAACTTGCCTAAATTATAGGTCTCTTGGGACTTCTTTGGTGTGTCAAAGTCTTAAATCTAATAAAGCAATATCCCACCCACCACAGCAGCCCAAGAGCCAGGTACCTACCCAGAGAGCTTTGGCATCCTCCATTCTAGTTGGGTGTCCTACCGCCTATTGCAACATCATCTTAGAAAGGCTCATTCTTTCCCCTGTGGGTTTGGTTCCTTACTCCCTGGTCTTCCTAAGAGGAGCCCCCATTCTTGGGGCTGAGTATTCACATCCAAGTTGATGCCTCAATTTCTCCACTGCTACAGCTCCTGAGCTACACCAAGCCCAGCACTCCGGGAAAAAGAAGGAGGCCCTGATAAAAACCACCAGTGAAATTTTCCTTCCTGAAACTTAGGAGATGGGATTGACATTTTTAAAATAAATGGCTGGACAGATAAATGAAGAGGTGGAAAAGTAGATTTAAAAAAAGAAAGAAAGAAAAGAAAAGAAAAGCTACAGCACTGTCATGAAAGCTGTGGTTTGCTATATTGGAGGTCTTGATTTTTAAGATCTCAATGTAGTTTGGAGATATGGGAAAGAATAGATTAAAATAAGGGAGATACATCTGCCCGGCCATTCTGACATTTTTGAGATATATAAAAATGAAAGAAAGCAACAACAGAGATAAAGCCTTAAATGGTATGGGCCCCATTATGAAGCAATCCACTATAACCTCTGACAATTCAAACAATTTTTAATTCAGTTGTTTTTTTAAATTTAGAGATTTTTCTTTCACATTACTCTGTTGGCAGGACAGGGAATTTAAGAGATTTTATTCCAGAAAATAGTCAGGATGGCATTTTTTTGTCATGTAGTGGTGCACACAGTAGTGCAATTCCTATCTTATTACCCACTCCTAGGGCGGTAGCTGGAGACAGCAGCATCAGCCGGTGAGCAAAAAGGATACCAACAGAAAATTGCTAAATTTCTACAGGAGAAAGTTTATCGGAAAATGACATCAGAGGTCTCAGCGAGGACTGTAATACAGCAGACAGGAACTAGGGAGTGGAGGTTAAGAGCTGGCATTCAACTATTGCTAGAACATGCATAGGCCATGTAAACAGAGCACTCACCTATGTTTAAACTGCAGTGCACAGAGGCGTGTATTTCAGAACCTCAACAATACCAAAGGTTCAATAAAAACCAGAAGAACAACAAAACACAAGCACAGCTATTTCAGAACACATCCTTGAGAATGAGCCAAAGATGATAACTTAGGAAGTATGAGAGCATCTACTTCCTACTGTTACAATATCATTCCTTTTTGAAAATGTCATCAGAGCAAACTCCAAATAGTCTAAGGCAGGAGAATAATGTGAGACAGAAGGGAATGTGCTAAAAAAATGTTCCCAGTGGAAGAGCAGGGTGAGGGATGCAAACATCTACAGCAACAGGGCGGTTAAGAAAAGGTTCCTCCTTGACAAGGACAGCCCAGTCCCCACTGGACACCAGAACTTTGAATGGAGATACTCAAGGAATTTTTAAGGGAAAAAATATTGCGGCAATGGCAGGAGTAACTGAACACTGATACCACTGCAATAAAGGCGCCAAAAACAACAAACTATTTTAAACACTCATGACCTTTCTTCACAGCAGCCTCATCTAAGTTCAGAGAAAATATGGTCATTGGAGCGAGTAGGAAACAAAGGCCTGCCATGGCTCAAGGCTCCTTAGACCACCTCCTCCAGACAAATCAGCAGTGCGGGTGAGCTGCCACATTGGGTTTACACAATCTGTAAAAACTGAGATCTCTACCTTACAGAATCATCAAAGTCTCTCCACTTAGAAGGCACGATGAATTCAGTTTCACTCTGGGACTTCTTAGTAATAGTTGCATAGGAGTCCAGGAGCTATAATCTTCATTTGAAACTTAACCATGTCAGCCACTGAAACGTGGGCAGTAGAATGAAAACATCATTATTTCTCCTCTCTATTAGCCTTTTGGGAAGTGCCAGGGGAAAGTGTAAATGGACTAAGTGTATCTGTCTAAAGGCATGTGCTCACAACCATGGATTT